GGGGGGGGGAGGGGGGTAGGGGATTCCCATTCCTGTCATTTTTTTCCTGGGATAATTTTTTTCATAGCGTCGCACATTTGCAGAGCATTCTAGAAAACTGAAAGGGATGAATGGCTTATATGCTCTGTTTGAGTGCTATGTTGTTGTGTGTCCCCATTGTTTAAGAATGAGGTGTAATTCAGACTAGTGACATATTTTATATTGAAGGCAATGTTCCGTTTTAGCATTGTCTTACTTCAGGATAGTCTTTGGTCTTTGCATTTACTTACCGTGATGGCAAAGTGGGGTGAGGGTGATCCGCGATGGATTGTGGAAGAACGTCCGGATGCCGTCAATGTGAACAATTGGCACTGGTAAATCGCTACTCATTTTACTTTTACATTTTCATTTTTGGAAAATAACAAGCCAGAACAAATGGAATCCTCATGTAAAGCACTATCTTCATCAAATTACATCAGAGAGAATGGCTGTGTGGGATGCTTGTCTTTTTAGCAGAGTTGCTTATTGTTATTTGTGCATCAAAGTAGTGACATCTTGCTAGAGATTATTGGATAAGGGTAAATTCAGATGGTAAGCATACCAGGTTGCAAATTTAGAGTATTATAGGACAGAGAAAAATGCAACGCCTTGGTCGAAACAACGCCTAAAAGAACTGCTGGAAGGACAGAAGTATGAAAGTGGCTCGACTGTCGTCATATTTAAGGAGCTCAAGAAATTAGACGGCGAGGCGACGGCAAATAATCGGAAAGCTAAATTAATTTTCCTCTTCGAGTGGCTTATTGAATTAAGTTTTGAAGGTATTTTATTGAAGTATAAATAATTTGCATTATTGGATTTGTTGCATGAATCTTCAAAGATTTTTTTTGCTTTGTGATTGGCTCCAGTTTCGGAGAGTTTCGTTTTTTTTTTTTTTGGTTATAATTCTCAATTTAATGATAGCAGTAGTTTTTGCAGTAAAAGTTGCTGGTTCGGACATCGATTACGAAGGACATGTTGAAATACCGAATTTAAGCGATGAAAATGAAGCTGATGAAGTAGATGTATGTTCCTTTGTTTAATTTCTTTCCGTTTATCTTTCCTTTTTTTTTCTTTTGTCACTCATACCAAATATAGTTGGGATTTATGACGTTCTGGTTTGTTTGCATTTAAAAAAGCTGCAAATAGGACTCGAAAATCCTTTGTACGGAGTAATTTTTTAGATAACTCCATCAGTAACTACCAGTGGACCTCACGAAGACCGAGTAAGACATCTTCTGAATAATGAGGTGGCTGCATTCTTACGTAAGCAGTTAGCTGTTTATATTCGAGAACTGAAAGAAGAATTCAGCAAAGGCTTGATATTACCAACTGATCGCACAAAGCCGCAAGTGGTTTCGAAGGGCAAAACAAACATTGGGAAGCAATATGTTGACAAGAAGGCATTCCAAAATCATGTGGTGCTGTTTTTTAGTTAAACACTTCAAATTTTTTTAAATGGAATTCTCGTTAGCTGTTTTATACTTAAATCGTATTTTTATATTTCAAACACAGATTAATGCGACTTTTTAACGCTCTAATATGAAGTTTTTACAGTACTTTAAATATTGCTTCTTCAGTTTTATTTCTTTAGGTAACCAGTGCTGACAACGATCTCACGAAGACTACACGTGAGTTTCCAATTTTTTCATGTCGAAAACTCCCAGTTTTATCTATTTTAGTATGTAAAATTTGTAAATGCAGCATTAATCATCTATAAGATCCATTGCCTTTTTCACCAACAATTATGTGCCTATTTAAATGAATTTAAATGAAATTTAAATGAAACTATTTAAATGAAAAAACTGTTTTAGCAGTCAGCATCGATGTTAAAAGTTTATCGTTTATGGAGTCATTTAAAGTTCAGCCAGATCAATTGTGGGAAGTACTCACAGAAGTTGAGGTCCTTTTATTGTGTCTCTTTCATTCCAAAAAAAGTCACTTCTTTTTTTACATGCATTTTGTGCCTGAAGATTCCAATATTACAGATGGTAAAGAAATGGTCGAACAATGATGCAAAGCTTGATCTCAGACCTCAAGGCGCATTTGCATTATTTGGTGGCATGGTTACGGGTGAATTCGTTGAAATTGTAAGCTCTCATGATAAATTTTTGTTTGTTCTTTGGGAAAAATGTCAAGTTTCAGTCGGATTTGAATTTGAAAAATTTGACTTGATTCAGTTTCTGTTTTTGTTTATATCATTTATTCTCCCTTCATGTTTTTTAACTGATCTTGTTACCAGTCTGCGGATCTTTAAGGCCTTTTGAGAATTGGAGTAGCCAGCATATAGGATGTTTCCGTTCTTTAAACGCTTTATGCATCTGAATTTCGATTAGTCAAATTGTTCTTTAGGAGCGCTGCAAAGAACTTGCAATGAAATGGCGCTTAAAAACTTATCCACCGGGATGTTTTGCAAATGTTACCTTCAGATTAAAGGACGAGGTTGGTATATTTTGTGAATTTTTTCCCTGGATTTCAGAAATAACGTGTATCTGAATGAGTATCTGCACGTCCAAAGTTCGCAACTATGCTTTTATATATTCCATTCCGTATTTCCTTTTCATTTCAGGCATTTCACATCAGATTTTTGAACAAAGTTTAGCTAATTTGTTTAGGAGTACATGAAGTGGTTTCGTTTTTTTTTTTTCGCTTGAAGCGTTTCGATATTTTCAACAGCGTGATCATTATTTGCCATTTATTTTAGCGGAAGAATAAAATCTGTTTTATGGCTCGTTCAAAAATTTGAACTCTAGGATATTATTCATTGCGTTAGTTTTGAGCTAAAGAAAGTTTGGAGAGGATTTTGCAAGTATTTTCTGCACTGTGTTAATTTTTCAGAGAGATAGTACAACACTAGAAGTGGATGTAACAGGCATCCCATCGACTGAATATGAAAATACTGAGAACGGTCTGCATCGTTTTTACATACAGAACATAATGAGGACATTTGGATTTGGAGCGCATATCTTCTGAAGTTTGTGCTTTAGCAGCTTTTAAATGATCATCTTATTAACTATTACGTCATGGATTTTTTATTTTTCTCAATTCATTTTTTTAGAATATTATTCAGTTTTCTCCAAAATCCAGTCTTGAAGTTGATTCTACATACATTACATACATTCTTATAATGTTAAAGCTGCAAACTTTTTATGGATCTTTCGTATGTTTATGCAGGAGATGGATATAAATCTGTTGTTCGGATTCATGACAATAAAAGTATCGCCGTTATTTTTGCTACGGTTACTCAGTAAGGATAGTGCAGGTAGAGTTCGGGGCTGATGAATAAATTGGGAGTTAAAACATTACAATCGACATAACTGTAATTACATACTCTGTTTGCGTCTTAATTCTTTTCGATTCATAGTTAAGCTTGAAATTTTGTTGATATTATCAAATGTTTGTTGTTGTTTCAACGGTAGATACTGCTAAAAGTTAAAGATGACAAAGAATTAGGAGTATTCAGGATTCTAGTTCGTCGGACTCTCCATGGTTTTTTTGATGAAAAGTGTTGTGCTGGCGTCTTTAGGATTCAAAGCCAATGCCCAAAAAACCGCGGACTGTGATTAATCTATGAATGAAACGCAAAGAGGAAATTCCATATGCGATGGATGTTATTGAACTGAAATGTCGTTGAATGGAATTAGCTTTGGACAAGCTAACCATAGAAATATTAATCTTTCCCTTTCGCTTTTTTTAAAGCTAAAGTAATTCACCAAGAGAATCTAAAGTATTATTTAGAACTGTCTCAAACGTGTTCTTTTAGCAACGGTATGCTCTCATGGTCTTCCAGTTGTTACTTTTCCAGCAGAATAATCCAATCTTATTTTTTGATCATTAACATGGTGCTGAAGCATTGTTTACTCTTTCAATGCTTTGCTCGCTGTGCTGTAAGATAAGAGTTCACTGATGTTAATAATACCATTCATGTCATCTAATTCATTTATATACGAAGTGTAAGTACTGCGTTTGTTATATTGGCAAGATAAAGGTAAGTGACAGGTAAGAAAAGCGAGAGGTTTCCTTATTTTCTGATCAACCGATGCAAAGAATACTGTTTATAGCTTCTTTGTTTTTTTTTTTTTTTTTTTTTTTTTTTTTTGTTCATTGTTTTTCGCATTCCACCTCATCCAAATTTTATGTGCTAACGGTTTTCACGCTTGTTATTCATTTTCGCTTCTAATTTTTGGCAATATTTCGCAGAAATGGTTTTCCTAAAGAAAAATGTTTCTATCATATGATGGTTTGGCATTGGCGCAGTTATGATTCCAAGTATCTTCCCTTTCGTATCTTGTTTGGGCAACAGTCTTCTATAATTGATTTTTCTTTCAGAAAAAAATGTGATATAAAACATGATGTTGTTTTTTTCTCTTTTTTCTTTTTTTTTTTGCAAATCATCGACTGAAAGGATTTAGTTAAAATGTTTTTAGATGAATGAAAGTGAACTTCTGCTTTCTTTCGTAGTGAACTATTTTAAATGCACAAGGAACAACTTCCTTCATGTAGTTGAATTTACTGACTAATCACAACACGGGTAATAAAGGATGAGATATATCCATTCGAAGTTCTGGTCGATTCCACTAAAGATAGTGGGGTTTTGTTTACTTGAGAAAGTATGAAGAAATTCAGCTGGCAGTTCAAGTTCCATACTGTATTATACGTCTTAGTATTGAAAAGTACACTACTCACATATACTTTACCTGTACTCAACGTATCTAAGGACAAACATTTTGTGCCGTCATTTTGTCGAAATGAATCAGTTGTCGGAGATATCCATCAGCTTCGCATTATCGTTATGAAGCAAATCTCACTGCTGCCTGTCCTTTCTATAGTCCACCAATGTTTGTAAATCTATTTTAAAAGATCCACTAAGCATATGCTGCTTCACAACGTCTACTTTTCAGCCAAACAACAGGGATCCCTTCAGTATGTGTTTTCCCGAAGCATAAGCAATGAGGATGGCGCCTGTTTGAAATAAACAGACATACAAACCTTATGGGAAACATAATAATTCGTCAGCATAATTGTCCGGAAAAATAAAGTTTAATCTCATCAATCAGAAGCAAACTGGTTCATCTGAGACAACCAAAAGGTCTCCCATCCGTTTCCCAGCATCTGCTCAGGCTTACCTTAGACAAATCTTTTTTTAGTAAGCCCGTGTTTGCCCTAGTACTGATTTTCTAGTCTTCCCAGTCCGAATATTCCTTTATTTTTTTGAACTGGAACTTCCGCAAAAAGAGCTAATAAAGGCTTATCTTTAAAATGAAGTTTCATTATTTAGTATCTCTGCCAATGTATCCATTGGTCTTTGCCTGCATTTTCATACCAGTTCATCACTCCCATTCCGTTCTTTGAAAACCTAGGTATTACCTGAAGGACCGTATTATTATTGTAATTAATACATGGTATTTTATCATAAATGAAAAAACTTGTTCTTGAATTAAGGATAAAGGTGATGATAGTAGATCGAGTTTATTCTACTACAGCTGTTGAGGTTTGCTAGACAAATCCCGCTATGAATGGTACTTCCAAGTTTGTTGTCTTCGATGCTAGCATTTGAATTATTCAGGGAATACTCTAAAATTCTGAAAAATTTCGTGTTCTTTGTAGATGACGTTTGCATTGTGATCATATTCTTCTTATTTAACAAATCTTGTAATGTTGGCTGGTTTTTCATAGATTTAATAAAATAAAGGAATATTGACGTTGAGATCATCTTCATTGTCTTATTTTGTTTCTTTTTGATTCGTTAGTTTGCTTCAACTAAGGAAAATAATACCCTGAAATGTTGAAAATAACTAGTAGTGTGTGATGAGTAGTTTTTTGGCCTATAGTAAATATCCTTTTTTAGTTAAATCCGCTTAATTATAAAGAGATACTAGTATTTGTGGTAACGAGAAAAAAAACTTTCATTCATCCATCTGTTCATTGTTGAACAGCTAATATTAAGTTCCTCATCACATAAAAATGGAAATTGTTAAGGGCATACTACAATTCAATTAAGCACAGGTCTTACTACTGTGATAATCTGCTATGCATTCTTTCGTAGCAGGCACGTTGTCAGCTTATCAGCTCTCCCTGCCATGTTATCAGCTTCCAAACTATCCTCTTCATCTATATAGGTCATACATGGTTTCGATTAAGAAATTCTATAAGTTAGGACTTGTTTTAACATATATTATTTTCTGAATTACTGTAGTGACGGAAACAAGTCATTCATTTTCTTTGATTTTCTCTGTTCTGAAGGTTCTTTAAGTAGAACTCCATTTCAAAAAGTGGAGCCTATATTTTAAATTACCTAATGCTTTATTATCAATTTCAAGACAAGGCCGAGCAGTTAGACTATAAAGACCTTCAGTAGAACGATTAGTTTTGCTTTTCGTTAGTGGTTAGTGATGGTTCTGCTAAAACTTCTTTTTTAATGAACTGTTACCTTCGTCGATCGATTTGCTGTAGTATTACACTGTCACCAGCTTTTCAGTAGGATAACACAATTTCATCCATTTCTTCTAATTTTTTATTGTTTTCAATCTCTCAGAAGTCTTGCTTTCTGTTTCTCATGGTCTATATCTGTATTTATTTATTTATCAATATGTATAGATATGTATTGCATATTTATATATGTGTATTTATGCATTTTCAAATAATTCATTGAAGTTTTTGCAATCTTCGGTAGTTTCAGCCTTTAAAAAACCTAACTGAATTGCTGAATGAATCACTTTAATTTAAATTTCTAGATAAGAATTTTTTTGTATAAATTTTTGACTTCCTCACATGATTAGCACTTTATCATTTAGTTGTTTTATCATATTTCACATGCCATGATTATACCAGAAATATTATTCACATATTTTTGTTAAGGGGTATAGTCATATTTCCATTGTTAATGATTTCAGGATTTGTCTGTTAAATTGGAGGTTTGCAAATGTTAATGATCACATTAATCACCATTAGAAAAGATGCTCTCGAGAAAAGATATTTCGATTAGATACTCTCTTAGGTTAGATACTCGATTAGATACTCTCTAATTTCCAGTGTAATAGGTTCAAACCCATCATCACTTATACAAAGCTCTTTTTCTTTTTGTATATTTTGATTTTTGCTATAAATAATTCTTGATAATTCCAAAATTTTCAGAGATTTTTTTTACACTTACCTCTCTCTCTCTCTCTCTCTCTACTAATTAAATATACAATAAAA